CACCATCATCTCTGCGAGCATGCGTTGCCAGAAAGTGTTGTTCTGCAGGATCACTGGAGTCTATCGTTGCTTTACTTGGATGAACTTGTTCCATATCCATGAATGATCGAACTAACGAATCCAAATCTTCGTATGCGTGGTGGGCTTGTGCGTGCGTCCATGATTCGGTGGAATCGTTGAAGCTGCCTGTAATAACCCAACCAAAATTAGTGTGTAGTGCGATGGGGTATTCAATACCAAACTCTCGACGATTTCCAGTATATATGCTCCACAGTTGATCAGCGCCCAGAATAACGTCGATTTTTCCCGGAGCTCCAAACGTTGGATCAGCCAATGGAAGACTGCAAATCGTTTTCCAGATAGGAGAGCTGGTCTTGACCTGTTGACCTGGAATCAAAGAAGTCAGAGAACTCATAATTAGACCAGAGATCTCCAGGGTTGCAGTAGTGGTTCTTGAGAGCAGGGTAAAGCTGGCACGTCCTCGGCTAACACCAGCCGGGTTAGCACCTAATCCAGCCACTGAGATGCGAGCGTGCGTGCGTGAAATTCCTATCCTTTGGATGAACGACTCGGCTACCATAGTTATCGTCGATCCAGTATCGAGCAATAACCGACATGTGGTCCTGTTGCCCCATGTGTCGATTACATTGGCCAGAATAGTTGGCAGTATGGTTTAATTATTAGCCCTCTCCAGAGTGTCATGACTAACAGCGGCGGTATCAGCAACTTGATCAATCGTATTGAATTCAGCAGTAGACAGATGAGCAGGAGCCGAAGGAACCGATCGTGACTCAACCGGATGAACTAAAGTGTGGTGCTTAGCATTGCACTGACGACAAGTGTTCGATGAGTTACAATCCCTGACTTGATGAGATCGACTCAGGCAATTGAAACATAGCTTAGTATCCCTGGCGAAGGTGCGGTGGTCTAGTACATCTAGAGCTTTGAATTCAGCACATGCATATATATTGTGCTGACCTTGACAATAAATACATTCGCGGGACTGCTGATTTGATCCACTTGCATGATAGGTGACTTGGCGGCGTTTACTCTGGGCTGGTCTTGACGGTTGTATTACGTGTAACTCCTGACAAGACTCCAAAGTATCACAATGAGCAAAAAGGAAACTAAATAAATCATTTATGGTGACCTCTTCTTTGACCGATATTACAGTTGGCCCAAGCCTGTTTGATTACAGGACTTAATTTTGAGAGCAAAATATGAATTAGCCATACATCGCGGCTGTCGCAGTTCAGCGCGTGCAGGCCACGAATACATTCGTCGGCAGAGTCAATTACATTACGTAACTCAGCGATATTCGAATTGGTAGCGGTAGGCAACGACAGAAACTTCTGAACAAACGTTCGAGCGATGAGCGTTTTCTTGTTATAACGATTTTCCAATTTCTCCCATGCGTCTTGGTAATTATCATTACAAACGGCAATATGTTTAATTAGGGACAAAGCTTCACCATTCAAATATGATTTCAGATAATGAAACTTTTGGCACTTGGAAAGCTTGTTGTTATTGTCTACTGAGCTTAGAAACAGATCACTAAACTGGCTCCAATCCTCGTATTTTCCAGAAAATGTGGGAATCCGAATTTTCTCAAACCTTAAGTCAGTTGCTCCCGATGAGGAATGAATTTGTTCCAATAGTTGGTTTTGTCCCTCAAATAGACGTTCCACTGTACTTGAGAGCAAAAGGTTAGGCTGGTCTTGGCCATAATCTTGCCCTCCCATCTCCTTTATGGCTTTACTAAGAATAGCGTGCGCGCTGTAGAACTTGTCTTCATATTCGGGTATATCCAAGCCAGGGTCTTCATATCCCTCCTCCATGTTGAATGCTACTAAATCCTCGGAGAGCTCCATAAAGTGGTCGAAAGTTGCTACTAAACGATTCAGCTTCACCTACAGAGTTTCCACATTATCACATCTCTCTGAAAACTCTGTAGCGCTGTTAAGGGTGCGAGTTATTTGCCCCTTGCAGGCACCACGTTGTTGAATCGTCCGATGCATTATTGGGTTCATTACGAAGAAAAGTCTTTATCTGTGGTTTATTATTCACGAAAATAAACACAAAAGCAATCGCGGTTATCCGGCTACTCGAACGGACCAAATTTTGTTATGTTTATAAATGCAGTGGACTGTATTATTTTTGTCTTAGGTGTTTTATGTTTATTAATTCATGTAGCGTCTTAGAATAAGTTTTATAAGCGGGTGCGATAAGCGAGCGGTTGCGGGTAAATTCCAACTAGATCTAACTGGCGAAAAATAGAAGCGTGCAGAAGAAAAATAAAGATCGATGATGTCCCAATACTCATGCACTTATACTGCATTTTGGCTATGAGTGTGAGCTTAAAGCTTTATGTTGTAAACAAGACAATTATGTTCATTAAACTAGGTATGATAATATGCAAAATAATAATAAGTAAAGAAGTAATAATTAACGACCGATTAATTCCTCAAAAACTAGAATGTATTAAAACATAATTAGGGTTTAGGGTGCTCCGGTGGACAGAATTCAGATTTTTGTGGTTCCCATACAGAGTCTTTCCTTCTTAGTCTAACCAAGTCCATTGTGTATGTTATTAAGTAAGTAGCAAGTATTTAATTTACTTTTCCTGAAACTTGCAACACACTTTGCCGAGGTTTCTCATTTTACCCCTGCCACGCTATGTCCTGCCATGTCTCTTTTCAATATTCTTTTCTTTTTTTTCACATTACTAATTTCTGACCTTATACCTATTTCTTACTTATTTAATTCCGTTTTAAAAGTTCACAAGAAAGTATTGCAAAACGTGATTATTATTGAATTTTTTCCGCTTTTAATTACTTTACTACTTCTAACTTGACTGCAACCGCAGCGAGCGGGAACCACAACACAGCGACATCCAATACGCAGGAGCGACTTAGAAAAAGAGAAAGAAAGTTCTAGAATGATCGACCGCCGTCAAAAGTAGTTCCATGTGAGAGAAGAATTTTAGTTTGCCACTTTTGCTTCCTGCTTTGAACGCCGGTCGCAAGCTTAGGTGAAAAGCTTTGGCTAATGTAAAGCTGGGCAACATGTCCCTTGCGGTACGGTAAAACACAATTGTCCCTTCCGACCTGCAAGTCTTAGGCTCCCTAACAAGTCTTAATCATCAGCGTCGACTCAGGTGCTCAAAATTTTGGCCATCACTAGGTTGTTGACATCATCTTACAAATAGAGTTTTTTCTCAATCGGCGTCCGAAAGTTATGTGGCGTACTTTTTTATTCGTGCGATATCGATATATAGTTATTAGCGTTGCCTTCGTTCTATTATATAGTTTGTGTGTTTCCTATGCTACACATGATTAAATTTTTAAATGTATCGGACGACTCAAAAACCGAACCCACAATATGTATACCCTTAATAAAGCTATCCAAAACGTTTTTCTGTATGAACTATGTGTACACAATGTCTATTTTCAATATGACTTAATATATAAAAAGTTAGTTAGAGAACACTCAAAAAAAAAGTTAATTCCTATAATATTTATTAATCGACGCCCGGAATCGAATAGCTCAAGGAAGCTGGGTCCGGAATTTTATTTTTTTTATTTTAAAGCTGGAATCGTATGCCCATTGTTTGTCCATGTTTGCCCACCCTTTACTTTGTTTGTCCACGTCCAGTTTTTTAAAATATTCAACTTTGAAAATTTTCATAATTTTTCTAAAATCCAAAAGATGACTTTTTACTTTTTGAAATCGCAATAATTTTGTTTTCTCACCCTTTAGAATTTTGAAAAAATTTCAAGCTTAGAAAATTTTCAAAATTGTATTGGGAAAATTTGAATTTTGAAAATTTGAAAACTGGAACAGTTTGCCCACCAACTATTTTTTTTTTTGACCACGTCCAGTTTCAAAAATATAAAACTTCAAAAATGTTTCAAAATCTCACTCTGTCTGCCACATGTTTGCAGTAGTGCTTTTTTGTCCTGTCACCTGCCGTAAGAAGTTAATCGGCCATAGCTGGTATGTTTTGTGCAAAATTAAAAAAATGGGAAATGGTATTGAAAAATTTTTAGTAGAATTTTTATAACGTAGCAATTCGAACCATTTTCAAAGCAGATTTTATAATAATTTTGTAATATTTTTTTTTTTCTGTAAAAAGTACTTTCTGCAACCAATATTAGGGATTGAACAACTGTAAACATAAAACAAAAGGTGATATTATGTAATTTTCAGAGGTGGGCGTTTTTAATATAAATATTTAAAATAAAGGGAGGGCAAACGATTATATTTAGTATTAAGGGGTGGGCAAACGACTTAAGATAGTTTTAAAAGATGGGCAAACGTGTTTTGTTAAAGAACTTAGTTTTAGAGGGTGGGCAAAGGATATTTTATATTTTTAAAAGACGGGCAAACGATTTTTTATTTCTTTTAAAGGATGGGCAATCGCTAATTCTGAAAGAAATTTAGTTTCAGAGGGTGGGCCAACAATATTTTTAAATTAATTAATTAATTAAATTTAAATTGGGCAATCGTTCTTTTTTAAAAATATTTAGTTTTAGGGGATAGGCAAACGTTTTCATTTTGTTTTAAGAGGTGGGCAAACGTTTTTTTTTTAAAACTTAGTTTTAAGGGGTGGGCAAACGACTTTATTCCGTTTTAAGACGTGGTCAATCGGTTCTTGTTAAGAATATTTAATTTTAGGGGGTGGGCAAAAATTATAATTTAAAAATGTTTGAAGTTTCATATTTTCAAAACTGGACGTGGGTATCAAAAAGTAAAGGGTGGGCAAACATGGGCAAACGATGGGCGAACAATTCCAGCTATCAAATTAAAAAAAAATTCCGGACCCAGATTCTTTGAGTTGAATGGAATACCTTCTCAGAAGTATATTCCAGTTATTGGTTCTTAGATTTTTAAATTTGGTTGATTCGTGTAGTCTACATTAAAATCCATCGTTTGCCAATCAACCCGGAGAAACTAAGGAATATGTTCGGAAACTACTTTAATTCGTTTTATCGACTTACCTTTAGCATGCTTGCACAGTTAAGCGAGCTTCGATCGTTATCTTTATTATAAGTCGAGAATGGGCTATTATTAGATCCATACCAAGGGTCGTTTAGGGAATCCCCAGCATTTCCTTCATATCCGTCTATTTCAAGCTTATAATAATCCGCCTCTGAATGTATTTTAAAATGGGAATACTGAGCATACCTAAAATGAAGGAAAATAAAGTTACTAACGGTAAGATTGCTTCTTCGTCAGAAAGGTAAATAGGTGTTTTCTTAAAAAAACTTGTGCGTTCTGACACTCGGATAACTTAAGACCCGGTTTTTTGCGGTATTACCTACATTCTAAATATTGAGTACTCTTGTTGGCCCACGAGGTAACAATGAATTTCGCAAAATTATTTATTCGAAACTTTTATATAAAATACGCGGGCAACGCGGGCGATTATGAACATTGAGAACAACTAAAAATCCGCTTTGCAAAGGCAAGCACTACCCAAACGGCACAACCAAAAGCAAACTCTACCAAGAAGAGCCACGTCAAGGTGAGAGGGGTAGGCGACCAGCCAAACCAAGTCGAACTTTTTAGCCATATCCATGCAGACTTTCATGCGAACCCGTTCAATGGGTAGGACCCAACGTTTATGTAAAATGGGTAATTCATGATGCCGACGTCGCTGCTCGAATCATGATCAAATTCATCATAACCGGTATGGAAAAAAATTCGGGGAAAAAATCGATTTTAAAAAAGAATTTGTATGAAGCTTCGACATTTTTATAAGCTATTTTTTTTTATTTGATACAAGTATTAGTAAATAATTTTGAATCATACTCTGAAACTTTTTTAAAATCATATCGCGTGTGAGAGGGACAAAAACATGCAACCCCTTTAAGACATTTTGTTTTTTTGCTCGGTTGATATTTGTCTTTGCCGTCGCGAGGCGATCATGACGCGTGGCTCAGGGATTGGAACATTTGCCTTCCAAAAAGGTTTAAAAATTTTGTTTTCTATAGTTTTCTATCTTGAATCGCTCACCGCATCAAGCAAAGCCCGAGTGGGAAGTCGTTCAAGAAGGCGCAGGCTAGCAAAGGTCCGGATCATTCTGGCAAAGATAGCCAAGAATGAGAAGGAGGGCGAAGCTGACCAACTAGGTAAAGCGGACAAAGCTCGATTTTAAATTGGCGCTCATAAGAGAGCGAAGAATGAGAAGGGGGCCCTGAGAGTAACATCCTTCGTCATACCGGCGAAGAAGTTCATTGAGGTGGCTAGAGAAAGCCTTGCCATGGCACTGGTGGACAAGCTTAAAGACGATGGGAGCCTGCTGATGGAGAAATGGGAGGAGGTCGAGACCAGTCTGGCAGACCAGACACAGACCAGACACCCTCCTCTGACTCTTCAGACATGGGGGTTAGAGAGACCGACTGATCAGGTGCGACGACGAGTCGAGGGACTTCCTGGCATAGTGCGTTGCTAAGATTAGCATGAAGCTAGTCCCTGCCAAGGATATCCAAGAAGACCCCGGGCTCGCATCTGGTTCCCAGCCGTTCTTGTTCCTCATCAACCAGCGATGCCTTGATTAACTGGAAGAACTAGACCACAAGGTTCGCCCAAGATTAATGTTTTCCTAGCCGAGCCGAACGATATCCTCGGAGACGAAGTCGACAACACCAACAAGCTGTTGGACGACTTGGCCATCGGTTACGACACCCCCAACACCACCCTGCAATAATGCCGACTGTCGTGCAGATAAATCTGAAGCGTAGCTTGCAATGCTTCTCCGAGAGAAGGACACCAACATCGGCCTAATACAAGAGCCATGGTCTTGGGACGGGCAAAACTCTGCCATGGCTCTAAAAGAATATATAACTATATACACCAACTCGACAGGTAGGCCGCACTTCTATAACCCAACCTTAGCAACTCAGATCTAGCAGTGGGCAGGTTTGAAGCAGCAGATGGGACACCTATACTCATAGCCTACGGCTACATGGCCCACCACGAACCGGCATCCCCTGAAGCTTTCATTAGGGTGATGCAGTGGGCGGAAGACACCAAGACGACGCTTATCCTCGGGTGCGACTAGGCACACGCTATGGGGAAGTAAGAAAACAAACGATATGGGTGAGTCTCTTTTCGATTGTATTATATGTCGTGACGTCACTATTTGTAACAAGGGCGACACGCCCACCTCAATTTTTCCAAGTACGGAAGAATATCAAGGAAGCGGTTCTAGATATAACTCTCCAAATAGAGAACAGCAATTACAAGGTAGGAAAATGGAGGATGCCGACGACAGTGGGACGAATACGGGAAAATTTTCCAGTCTAAGGTGAGAAATATAAGGACAAAGATTCGGTCTACCCCAGAAGGAATCGACTTCAGTAACATTCTCAACATGCAGACTCACGTACTCAAAGAAGACATACCCACAATGGTGGAACAAGGAATCAAGCGTACTCAGGAAAAAGGTTAGGAAGACCTTCAATACAAGCTACGAAGCAAAGGATTGGCGACCGTACAAATAGATACAGAAAGAATACAAAGAATACGCTGCCAAGAAACAATTTTGGAGCAGCTACTGGGGATCACTAGAAGGAATAAAAGACACGGCTAGACAGAGCAAGGTACTAGCAAGGGGGCAAACTGGCTCTACACTTATATAGGGGACTGACGGCACAAGAACGATGTCAGCAGAAGAGTCACTAGAAACACTACTGGACACACACTTCCCAGGAAACCAGATAGAAGAGTCTGGAACAACGGAAAGGCATAGAGCAGTCCAACAAATACGAGTAGAAGAGAAAGTCAAAATGACACTGGCTGGTACTACTACGACCTATGACGGTGTGGATCAAAACGGAGCTCAGCTTTTATTGTATTCTACCAGGTCCGAAGTACTTAATTAGAGAGTATATAATATGGAGCAGATTCCCAGATCTCACTTTAAGGTCGGTAATTTCTAAATTATTAGACAGAATGAGTGTCTTGCTTGCGAATATTTGGAAACCATTGAACAGATTGCTCTCTCGCCATCCCCGACAAATCCGTGAACATAATCGTGGACAGTTTTTGTTGCACCCATTGGTGATAAAATCGACAATAATCGTTTTTTAATTTGTTATTAAAATATTAAGTGAGAAGAAGCTTTCAAACAAACGCAACAACTCGAGCTAGTGCTAGTACGTAATTCATAATCACAAGAGTGTGAAGTCAATCCAGAATAAGGAAAGTATAAAGTTTTCATAGCAGGAGCCAAGTTTCTTCGGCCTTAACCGGGTTACTGCGAACACGATACCCTGGGAAGCGAACGAAAGACTATCAGAATTCTCTTTGGAAAAGTACGTAAGCCTCTTGCACTCTAATAAATACAAACTGAGCAAATAAGTGAATATTTACTTGTACAGGCCGCCTTTTTTCTTTTTACTCCTTGATAACAACATACTTTGGCCAAAAGTAGCAAGCTTACTGGTTTCCGCTATTCCAATTGCGGGTGGTATTCCGAACTTGAAACCTTAGGCGTTAACATTAAAGGCGCTCTGAGGGGTCATTAATTTAGAGCTCCCAGGGGACATGAAGGAGATCACTGAGAGCACTATTATTTTCGCGGTAAATTGGGAAACCAAATCTTTCAGTCTATCTCAGAACCCTATCCTAAGAGCGAGGAGAACCTACTTTGAGTTGTTGGGATCCGACTGAGACTCGTCTAACATCTGAAGACTGTTAAATGAGTTTAAACACTGAATTTGCTTACATCTTTGATTGTCCAGCCACCTCGTTTTTGCAAAGCCTGTAACAGATAATGAGATTGCATGTTGAACCTCTTTGCAGAATTTTTACCATTAGAGAGGGTGGGTTAATTTTAGCGACACAGCAAGAGAGAGAGAAAGAGAGAACGGCAGAGCATGGAAGGTAGAAAACTTATAAACACTAAGTTGCAGTCGCGACAGCGATAATGCTAAGCAAACCAAGGAGCACAAAATAAATTGTGATATAAAATACGATTTATACACAACACAAAACAGTTAACAAGATTTGAATTTTAATTACGATCCAGAAAGTTTTTATCAGGACATTACTGACATAGTTAGAAAAAAGGAACACCATAATATAATATTTGAATTAATTGATTGATTTTTAAAATTATGAATATTTGATCTTTATTTCATTTCAAATTATTATACAAAATATAACGGTACACATTACACCAGTTTTTCAAGTAAGATATAAGTTTTAAAAATAATTTATTCGTAATAAAGTAAAGTAAATACCTCACGGCATGAAAAGAACGGAATGCAATTAAAAAGCTCGACGTTGGTTTCAGAGTGAAACGCCATAATCGGAGTTCACTTAACGACTAACTATGTATATTTCTGTTACTGGTGTAAGCTTAGTATTAGATTGTATGTAACATTAGTGTGTAAGCTTTAAATTTAAATATAAGTGAAATATATGTACGATATGTAAAATAACTTTACATTTTAGGTAAATAAAGAATAATATAAAACACTTGATATACCTCTCGTTGTTACCGATTAATACCGGCAACTGCCAAATCAAAGCGAATGTATATGCGAAACTGAGATAAAACCGCGCGCACAGTAGCGGCGGAAAGAGGAGCTGACAACTAAACTAATAAGCTCTCTAATACGCACAGAGCACAGAACAGTAATCTGTTATTTCGTCTGCCGCACACACAGAAAGTGGAAGCTTGCGGTGATCATTGTTATGATAGTCATTTATTGTTCATCTACCAAAATGCCTATGCTTTCACAGAAAAAGAAATTAATATATATTGAAATAATAATTATAATAATTATAATAATAATAATAATAATAATAATAATAATATTTTTTTTTTTTTTTTTTTTTTTGGGTTGAGGAGGGGGAATGCCTAACGCATCTTCCCTATTGCCGTCGCAAAAAAAGGTATGTGGGTTCTTTTCCCTATAGAGTGCAGAAAGGCGGCAAAGTAGCCATGGCCTGTCAGCATCTGCGTGACGTAGTAATCCACATCTCCGTGTTTCCTTCCGTACCAAGCTACCAGGTTTGGTAACAGTCTAGCTGTCCATCTTCCCCTTGCTTCGGCTGCCCATCTTTCCTGCCATTGTTGGAGAATCACTTCTCTGGTTCGCTCAATAAAGCCTCTTGTCGTCTCTCCTTCCTGTCTCCTCTCATATATTTGTTTTCGCGCTTTGGCCAATAGG